GTCTGTTCACCTTTTTTGATTTCATTTCACTGGAAAAGAAGGATTTTAGAGAGGGCATACAAGTTTTCATTTTCCTCGTCGTGAATATTATCTGCGCATTGGTGATATCGCGCATTTTTTTTGCTAATATCTGACTGTGATTCTCCCTATATTAGACCATCAACATGGGAAGATGGGTGGTGAATCACTGCTACAATTTGAACGCATTCTCAAAATATTTAGATGTAATAATTTTTTCGATGCGTGGAAAATTGAAGTCGATATGTGGGATTTTATTACGGATTCAAGTGATGAGAAAAAAAACGTGTGTCATTCTCTCTTACTGGTGCAATACGAGATGTTTCTGTGTCAATTCCTTTGACTGATCTCAAAACGAATCCTTGTTTGACAAAAAGGTTAGTTAAATTGAAAATATCTTCCGGAAAAGAAACCGCTGATCAGTTATTTTTGATTATGGCTATAAAACTATAAGACGTTGCAATTTTTCATGAAGTGACTGCATTGCTGTGTTCGAAAGTGCGAATCAGCAACTTGTTCAATATGGTTTTGAGCGCTCTGATGGAATTTTAGCTTGCAAATTGTTAATTTGGGCTGGTTTAGATAAACGCGATAAAAAGTTGAGTAGGTGTTTGACAACATGAAGGAAAAATCCAATGTCCACAGTTGCATATAAAAACGCAGGAACATAAGTTGACTAAAAAGTAACCATTGTAAAAGTAATTCCAGAATAACTTTCTTAGGTATGGTTTGTCATTATGTTCCAGGTCAATATTTTTTTTATTTTTTGGTATTATATTCAATAATTGACTGGTTCTTTCCATAAATTTCTGTCGGCCTTTTTTTTGTTATCAATGCTAGTTTTCACAGTCAGATATTAGCAGGAAAAATCCGCGATATCACCTATGCGCAGATAATATTCACGACGAGGAAAATGAAAACTTGTATGCCCTCTCTGAAATCCTTCTTTTCCAGTGAACTGAAATCAAAAGTGGTATACAGACTTGAACGTTGTGGGTGCAAATCCATCTGTGTTGGCCAGACGGTCCGACATCTCACCACAAGGATTGAGGAACACCGAAAAGAGGATACCCCAGTTGGACAGCATATAAGGCCGTGTGGTAGTGAGAGTGGTTAGTCGGAGTTTAAATGGAAGATAATCGACCAGGCGTCCAGCACCATCAAATTACTTAAATTAGAGACGCTGCACATTAGGAAAGAGAGACCGACAATTAACACGCGCGACGAGTTTAGAAGTAGGGAGCTGACACTAAGGCTATAGTCCCAGAATCGAAAAATTCTGGCTAAAACAAAAAAATTTCATTTAAAGGAATAATTCGCAGATCAAAATCATGCATCCAGGATATAAGTTTTAAAAAATTAAAAATAAATGTGAAGCTGAAAATACAGGTAAGTAATCAATCCAAAAAATAACTATAAGATTATTAGAGTAGTTTATCGATTCAATCCAACATACCTTGAGATATACCAATATCCATTTATACTAGCAGTCCTGGGACTTTCCAGGACACATAACCTAATAGATTTGCAAAAGATTTTGGCGACATTCTTATTAAGCAATCCGCAAGCCCATCTGCCATCCGGAATCCTTTTTAACTCACCTAAAATCCCATCATGGAGCATTGACCGTAAGTACACAATATCCACCCAAAGTCCTTTACCTTTTTGCACTTTTGTCGAAAATACATTTTCCACCAAAGAACGATTGTCCGCGTATGCACCAATCAGAACAAATCAGAAAGTAGGTTCTAATATCAATCTTTGCAAGGAAATCCCGCATCAACACCACTGCCGCATGACTTCGTTTTCCCACAAAAAGCCTTAGTTGATGAGCTGGAAAACACAGACAGCAACTAAATGAGAGCAACTAAACTGAAGCAAATGAACTGAATCACCATGTGGCAGGTAAGATAAAACATAACTCGTCAGGAGTTTAATGGCAAAAAGGAAAAATACAAAAGGTATACAATTCGCAATAAGAAGTTATACTGGAAAATATATTTGGAAAAACTAACAACCAATATTTCTCAAAACAATTCAATACATGTATGTTCAGAACGATCAAACAAAGGATCAGCACAAAATCTAATAGTTAGAACAAATATATGATTAGAATAGAATTCATTTTTCAAACAAATCAAAAATATGATGAAAAAAAAACAATTTGAAAATAAGCAAACAAGAATTTCCAAGAACTGCAACAATCAAGTCAAATTTATGAAAAAAACTAAGAAACAGATGTTAAAAAAGTGAAAAAAAGGAGAAAATTAATGCATGTCTGCCCGAAGTGTACAGCAAAACTTTGCTCTGCTGCATAATTTTTTCCTGTTAATTTTTCTAAGGTTTTAAGCACAAGACTTCCAGCCAATAAAAACGTCCAATGATTCTGTTTGGGTATAATGTTTTCGTTCCGATCCTTTGCTTTTTCACCTGTATCAAAACATTGTACCGCGAAAAAAAAAGCTTTTTATGAAACACCTAAACAATTATTCAAGTATATTTCCCTGATTTCTATTACGCAGGCAGCGATATAGATAATTTTGTTTCACCTAAAATATTAGAATCATCTCAGAAAATTCCGAGCAATTTCATGGAATATAAAAAAAAAAGATTTCAAAAAAGAAAAAAGGAAGAAACCTTTGTGGTTTTCTTTTGGCTGGGAGAGGAAACTAAATTGAACAATGGGTCGTGAGGTTCAAAAAATAGCTAAAATTTTTATCGAATTCCAGAATAATTAAAATTGGAATGTCACTGCGGAACTTTAGCCTGCCTAAAATTTCCAGCCTTAAAAAAAGCTGAAAAAAAGCATCATTAACGTTTCGATTTTTGTAAAAAACGGAATCACGTCTAACAGGGCGTTGATGAAGGAAAATTAAAAAAGCTGGCGTCAAAACGAAGCCATCATTGTTTTAATATCATTTTAATTGAACTCAGAACAACAAGACTTTTCGGTTGATATTAAAATTAATCCGCCAAACGTTGCTATTTGATAAGTCAAAGCTTTTCTGGAGAAAAAAGAACCGCCACGACTACAAATAACTCGCCAATTTCTTCAAAAATCAGAATAATTTTTTTTTCTTTCATTTGGTTGTGAGAGGACCTGCAAATTTCAACTTACCATATTCCGATCTTTTTCTTTTTCGGTTTTACCAAAACGTTTACCAAAAGAATAGCACACGTGACCTCTACGATTTATTTTTTGATGCGATTACAATCGGACGGAACAGCAGTGCAACAACGTGAATATTCCGACTGCCCTTTATTTGTTATCAATGAGTTTTAAGGAAGAAAATATAAATTACCTGTTAATTTTTGATACGTTTTTGGAATAAGTTGGGCCAATTAGTTTGTTGTCCCACTTCAGTTTGATACGATTTTTTACTGCAAAATAAGTTGCCACGCATAAATAATCCACCAAGCATTAAAAATTCGCGTTACTTTTTCCGCAAGAAACAATAAAACGAACAAAAGCCGGGGGCGACGTTCCTCATGATAGAGGGACCGAATGTTGGAAATTTAATCTTAAATGAATCGCAAAAATTAAAAAAAAAACCGCGAAAATTGGTCTGAATAAAAAAACACCCCAATCCAGGGGCCGATTTGGTAGGCGGCGGTTAGACGCCCCCCTCTCAGGGATTCGAGCTATTCACCAACTAACCTAAGGGTAATTTTTCATTTTGACTTGTTTTTTTAAATTTTATAATTTTTTTTTGAAAAATAAAGGTCAACAAATTTTTTTTTAAAATCCGCCCTCCCGCTCAAAAAATCTTAGCCCCGAGCATATATATTCTTTCTTTTTCACTTTATTTGAATGTCAGACCAAAAATTTTTTTCTTCACTGAGAAAGCACAACTTCATGGTTAAGTTCAGAAACATAGTTATCGGAACAGTTCTCCAAAAAACTTCCTTTGCCTACAGTTGCTGTTATTATGTAAAACTGAACAAACTCGAATTTCTGGTCCAATAATATTTCCTTCGGTGCAATAGATTTATAGAACTCGCTTAATGAGCATTTAATGTCAACATTTGACTGTCTCGATAACGCTTTTATCGGTTTCAAAACACAAGTCAGCCTAATGACCTCTTTGATAAAAGTAAAAGAAACCCAAACCTTATAGCTAACATATTTATCTTATACCGTATTTTATAAAACAGAGTTAAGTCGAAATTGTTTTGATCTGTGAAATCAGCCGGCTAATTTCCTATACCATTTGTGTTTTACAGCGCGTGCGGTTAGTTTTTCTTGATTTTTTCCTGATATATATAATTTTCGAAAACCTTCCTAAAAATAAAAAAAGACAGCATTTTATTTTACCCCAAGACATTTTTGGTGCACTGCTGGGGTTTTTTACAAACAAAAAACCTAAGCATGAAGAAGTTTATAAAGAATGCTTTATTCCACAAGGCGCTTTACGAGGGGACAAATGCGTTCTGAAACTTTCAAAATTGCTCGGCCTGAAAGTCAAATCAAGTTCCCTTGAAAAAAAAAGCTGAAAATCAGTGATGATTGAAAACACTTCTATCACTTTGAATCAAGTTGTTAAAAATCTAACAAGAAAGCGTATTTTCTTTTTTTTTTTGGTTTCTTCAACTATATTTCCCCTCCCCTTAAAAAAGTACAAGGGGATATAATTAAAGAGGTGCAAAATCTGCATACAATTTAGCTTGATAGATTGATTGATATAGTTTTTTATAGAAATGCGGGGCTCTTTATCCTCCTCCTCCTCTCCCCCCCCCCCCCCCCAACCTCACATAAGCAACCATTTTATGGTTTAACGAGGGGTTTATTCTTTTCTGGTACCAGAGGAGGGGGGTGGTAGTTAAGGATGAGGTGTCTCTCCTTACCTTAGCGACCCATATCCCTCCCCTCCCCTCCCCCTGTAGTTCCAACTTTTAAACACAATTAAACTTTCAAACATAATTTTAAACACACTTTTAAACTTTTAAGCACTTTCAGCATTAGCAACTAGTTGTTCTTTCAGCACAATGTCATCCAGCAATCATGAAGTAGAATTTATGGAACCAAGAGAGTATTCTCAGACATCGTCGACCGCCAACAACAGTACAAGTGCATAACTAATCAGCACTCCTCGCATTGAACAGTTTGAAAGGTGACCTACAGAATTTATAGAGTGTAAATACATCAGCCGAAGTATAAACCAACCGAAAATATGCATAAGAGCCAACTGAAAATAACCAACCAAAAATAACCATAAACATGTATAACCAACCGAAAATAAAAGTATATCAGCCGGGTAGTGTGCATAAACATTCGGTATGTCAAACATCTGAAAAACCAAAAAATGTTTCAAAAATCCGACGCTTTTCAAAATATAGCTCAAAGATTTCTAACTTCAAAGATTTCTAACCGATTTCTAACTTTCGCTTGAAAGATGGTTTTTTGGTCGAACTGATAGCGACCGGCGAAGTCGCGTCAAAATGTTGCGAGCTGTCCATAAGAAGGTAGCACTTAACAAAAAAAATAAGAGCCGGTTATCGGAGACGTGCGCGTAACGTGCCCACCGACGACTTTAAACTGAGAGTCAGCTAAATTTGAATCGACGTATTGAACTAAGTCTTGTGTTTGAAATTCTTACGTCATTTGTAACGTAATTATTACATAATTTCGGATGCTTGACATAGCTAATATCTGACATATCGGATGTTTGCCATAGACCCATATAAGCCTGCAAAAAAGTTTCGTCAAATGAAGGATATTTGCAGGACTTTAGTAGCTGTTGCATAATTGTTGCATTAATTTTTTTTCACAATTAGGTATTTTCGGCTGGTTCATAATGAAGCTGGTTTCTTTTTCGGCTTATATACATACCACCAATTTATATACCCTTCTCCTAGCTTGTTTAACCAAACTATTATTTTTAAAAAGGGAGCCTTTAAAAACCGGTCAAAAGTAACCTCCCAGAGCAAAGATAAGTTTGAAGTGAAGGGTAGGGTTGTTTTCCCAAACTAGCTACCCCGAAAAACCAAAATTTAATCGATCAAATTTTTTTCTCCAAATTTAGGCAACTTTGAATTTTTATTTAATCGTTTTCACCCTTCAGTAATGGTACCCAGTAACAAAAACTAAAAAAATCTTGACCCCTTTTATGATATGCTCTTTCTATCTTTCTTTCTTTTCTTTCTTTGTTTCTTTTTTTCTTTCTTTTTTGAAAACAGAATGATATTTAAGCTTAAAAAAACAAGCAAAATATGATTAATTGAAAAATAGACAAGCGAGGAATGCTGTAAAAAAATAATCACTGATTCTTTCGACAGACATCAATTCACCCAGCGAGACGAAATCCCAGTCAGTCGAATCCCAACGGAAACGCAAATATCTTTTGCTGGGAGTATTTGTGACAGCTTGTATTTACTTCAACATCTTCATGGCATTATGTCCGGTCATTTTCAAAGTGCTTAGCGATTACACGGACTGGAATTGGATTGAAGTTTTTGATTTATCTCAATTCGATCATTTAGTGTTCTTTAGCAAGAGCTCGGGCCATACAAGCGCAGTTTAACATAATTTCAATCTAAGTTGACTTTAAATTTCACTAGTTAATTATAATCTATAGGTAATAATTGATATATTTTTTGTTGAAGCGTTAATTATTACGACTACTGAAAGTATGGAGTGACTTTCTCTTCGGATTTGTTAGTTTTGTAAATTTTTTTATTTTATTTTCAATTACCACAAAACGCATCAGGAGTGGTTGCGTTCAGTGTCCAATTAAATTCCTCTATTTTGTGATCAGAACGAAAATTTTAATCAGTATTGAGGAAAACCGTTTGACGTTTTTTGCTTTTTGCTCTAATTTTGATCAAGTAAAACGAGTGAGGTGAGTAGCATTTATTAGAGAAAAATTGGTCAAACGATTTTGAAAATAAATTCGGTTAGTGTATTATTTTACTCCTGGAAAGCAAATTTTTCAATCTTCATACTGCATTTCCATAACAATAGAAAAAAATTTTCATACAGTTTTTGCAAAAAATTATCCGAAAATGTCAATTCTACTTATTATTTTCTATTTTTGAAGACAATTTTTGATTGTGGATTTTGATTACATTTCTAGTCGTGAAAGTTTTAACCTTAATTATCTTTCCTCTCATCATATCATATCACTTCAACAACAGAACGAATTTTTAAAAATAGATGTCTGTGAAAGTGGTCTAAAACTTCGATCTGTACTACTTGCGCTTAAACCGGTTATTCTTGTTTTTCATTTTTTTCTTTTTGAAATATTGTGCTGTAGTTTTTAACAAATATATCCAACGTCTTAAATTTTTGAAATAATTCTCACCTCGAGACAGTGAAATGGCGTTCACACTGCAATCGAACTTTCAAAACTGCATTTGAACTGACAAAAGAGCTCTGCAAACTGATTGCGCTTTTTTCGGAGAATTTCATTTTTTCCTCATTTCAAAAGCACAATTGAAAAACTTTTTTGGAATACAACAACAATTTGGCATGCAATTTTTGAGAGCAACTGTGAAACTTTAGAGAAGCATTCCGATTTAGTTTAAAATTGAAGGTCAAATTTATTTCAGAAATTTAATATTTGTCGGATAAACTTTTTCAAAACTGTACGTCGAAAATAATACGCTTCGACTTCCGTTGCCAAATTTTGGTCTGCACTAACCATCTCAACTGAAGTTGTAGATGGTTTTGCTCAGCTCAGCTAAACTCAACATTACGGATCCAAACTGTGTTTTTTGTGAACTTTTAGCGGATTCCGTAACAACGACTATAAATTAGATTGTAAGAGATTTTAATCTCTTGGAAAATATCATGCATATAATCGATTAAAAGTTTTGGATGCAGTTGTCTTAATTTTCTCGAAGAATAAAAGTTGGATCAAGTTTGCTCGATTGAAAAAGTGTTTAAAAAATAAGCTTTCGAAAAAACTATGTTTACTGTGCTCGTCTTATGTTAAAATGTGTTCGATCAAAATTTGATAGATAAAGCTAAACGCAAAGCAAGATTTGTTTTTTTGGGCTTTATTTGGACTTTTTTTGACAAAAATTGGATGTGCTTAGACAATCAAATAATGTGACTTTATGGGAAAAACATTTATGATTTTTTCAGTTTTTTTTTCAGAGCTATTGCAAGGCTATCATTTGAAACCGTTTGTAAACTCATTGAATCAAAATTTCAATTAATTATTAAAATGCTTCTTTTTGTATAAATTTTCATCTTAAAACAGCGTTAAAAAACATTCAAACTATTGTTGGTTGTTTGCATTTTTTTTCCAAAAAACTAACTTTTTTAACAGAGTAGGCTGTCAATCTCAAAATTTGAAAGGATTTTCTTAAATTTATGTTGGTAGCAGGCATACTTGATTTCACCGACCTGTTAGCCGGCCTGTTGTTTGTTGCTTTTTTCTTGATTTTGTGAGCGATTTTAGTGTAAAAAAACTCTAAATTGCGAAAGTTTTCACGCAGCAAGCAATTGTTTTCAAAAAAGCAGGTCAAAAAGCATGATCAAGTTTTTTCTAAAGGCTCTTTCAATAATCTTGTGATTGATTATCCAAAATTGACTGTCGTAAAATAAAACCAAAAGTGACAACCCTAAGAAATCTCTGGCAATCAGAATTGAGGGAGTGGAGGTCCCACGGCACGCTCGCGCTAAAAATCATCGAAAAAAAAATGTTTCACAGTATTGTGAGTGTGTTTTGTTAATTGCGTATTTTTTCACAGAAATGAGAACCTCTTGAGTGAAGTGCAAAAACGCATTGCTATAATGCTTGAACCGCTACATGATTGCATTATAGTTTTCCATTTTTGACTTTCTTATGTGACTTGCTTTAACTTTGCAGCCAAATTACTGTAGTTTTGAAAAGTCACATTGAATTTTTTGTGTGATTCGACAAAAATTGTTCTTCCAGACCCAAACAGGATAGTTTTCGATTGTTTCAAATTTTTGGAGCAAAAAAAAGATAATCGAATGCGTATGACAAAAAAAAACTGAGAAAATCATTTTCATTATGTATGTTCACTATGCTCGACTTATATTGGGACTGTGTTTGTCCTACCAACGTTTGAAATGTAATGCTGCGCTCACATTATGTTCTCATATTTTTTGGCACATTGTTTGGTAGGAGGCAAATTGTGAAATCGACCCAACCTCAGGGCAATGATAGTGTGCGAGGACGCGCTCTCCGTTGACCTCTAGCTTTAAGACTACCGGATTCTGACCGGTTGCTGCTGCACTAGTGGTTCCACTTGAATGTTCTAGAAAAAAAAACGGCCTTGAGTTGAAAAAATAAAAGAGTTTCGCTCAACGAAATAACTCAGTCTTGAATGTCGGGAAATGAAAAAAAATTGACTAATTTTAGACAGGCTAGACACACTTTCCTAGATTCTCTGGGAATCGCAAAACCACAATTGTTATTAAAATTTGTTAGCTAAACGATAAGAAAAATTATGGGTTAATGGAACAGACAACTATAGATTAATTTCCGTGTCAAATTTTGTTGGTTGTTTTTGATCGCAGTTCAGCGAAATTTGCTTAGTGTTTTATTCGATTTCATCGTTTTTGTTGAAATTCCCCAAAAAAAAAAATTAAACCGATGAAGAATAAAGGCAAACAATTTTTTTTGTTACGAGGCCAAACTGTGTATTTTGTGAAGTGTAAGGAGATTCCTCAACAAGGACGCTCTCTTTGTTCTTCTTTTGTTCTGTGGTTTTTGGTTGATCGTTCGATTTGTTTTTGTTTTCTCTAGATATACATAACCAAATTGTGCACCAAAAGTTTTCAATTTGGCATCATATTATAATACTCACAGTTATTGTACCGTGTCAGCCTATCAATCTCAAAATTAGTTTGTCAGTAGTCTCGGTAGTCTCGACTTACGAGTGGTAAAAAGCTTTTATTTTTTGTTCCGAGCTTTATAAAAATGGGAACGAGTTTTGTATTCGAGTGTGTTTGAATTTCTTGTGCTGTTTTTTCCATACAAATTCAGGTACCACAAATATTCACCGGAATGAATTGAGTGATATAACATTTGAAACTGTCGTGATTTGAATGTAATTGAAAAACTTTACAAACTTGTCCGTAGTGCTGAGAAAAAATTTGTTTGAAAGTTTTAAGTTTTGATTAGTAAGTTAGATTGAGTAACGATCATTATATGAAAATATATATACATTTTTTCTCTTATTATTTTCATCAAATTTTTAAACACATGATTGTCAACTTTTTTTAATTCACAACCTTTTTACGTGTTTTTATAATTCTCCTCTTACCCCGCGCAATAAAAACCACAATAATTTGAATTAAAAATCGAAAAAATGCCTTATGTTTTTACAAATGTGATTGGAACAATCTGTGTAACTTGCACAGCAATCAGCTTCTTTGTTCCTTGTTGCATTATTGTTGACTAAAACTCTCATCAATCGAACGAAAGCAAATTATTTTTTTTGAAATGTTGTAAGTCCATCGTTTGCAGAATCTTCCTAAAATTTTTTAAACTTCCTCAAAAGAAGAAACAGCAAAAAACGGAAAAAAATGGCAACACATTTGGTATTCTGAGTATTTTGAGATTGTTTTGCAGACTGTTACCAGTGAGTGCTTAGATATTAACAACTTGCAAATCAATAGACTAATTTTTTTAAACATGCAATTGTAGACTTTAGAAAATCAACATGACTAGAACTTCTAAAACAAAAAAATTCAGATAATTTGAGCTTCAACTTAATAGAAATTTTTTGTTCAACGCTGAAACGCTTTTGATTTTGTTTTACAGCTCAGCTATCAAATTCAAGTCTATAAAAGGCCCTAAAAATAAACTACTATCAACTGATCAGGTAACAGAAATGAATGACGACTTTTAATAAGTAGAGGGGAGAGTTTCCTCTTAACTCGACTTATGGGGAGATGAAAACGGAAACAAAAACTAGTATGGAAGCAAAATAACAGAAAAAAACGTTATATATTACTTAGAAAAATTGGCAACCATAATGAGTTCGATCTCCTCACAGCCACCAAATTATAAGCCAAAAATATGCCTAATTGTAATAAACCCATCGAGTAGTTGACAAAATAACTCAGTCTTGCATGTTGGGAAATAAGAGAAACAGACTATACTTATACAAGGTAGAGAGTTTTTCCTAGATCCTTTGGAAATAGAAAAAACCACAATTGTTCTTTTATTTGTTGGCCTAACGATCAAAAATTAAGGGTTAGTGGAACTGACAACTATAGGTTACTTTCTGTACAAACTTTTTTGGATTGTTTTTGATCAAAACGAAGCATCAATATCAGTGTCACAGAAAGGTGAACGCAGTTCAACAAAATTTGTTTGGTGTTCTGTTCAGCTTACCGTTTTTGTAAAAATGGCCCCCAAAAAAAGAATGCTTGCAAAATTTGTTTTGTGTTCTATTCAGGTACCGTTTTTATAAAAATACCCCAAAAAAATAAACCGAAGGAGAATATTTGCAAACGATTTTTTGTTGGCTCAACGATCAAAAATTTTGTGTTAGTGGAAACGACAACAATAGATTACTTTCCGTACAAAGTGTTTCTGTTTGTTTTTGTTCAAAACGAAGCATCAGTATCAGTGTCACAGAAAGGTGAACTCAGTTCAATAAAATTTGTTTTGTGTCTATTCAGCTTACTGTTTGTAAAAACTCCCCCAAAAAAAATAAACCACTGAAAAATATTTGTAAGCAATTTTATTTCATCACAATATCAAACTGTAAATATTGTGAATTGTAAGCTGATTCCGCATAGAGGACACTCTCTTTGTTTTTCTTTTGCTCTTTTGTTTTCTTTTATT